GCCACGTTAACAAAACAAAAGAAAGTATAGAGTGAATCTGTCAACAAAAACGGCAATGACTTAGTTGCCAACCCAATAGATGACATACTTTAAGGCAAATGATGTAAATTATAATGATGGCAAGTAAGCAAACTTGTCAACTTAAATAGTTACTGAAAATAATTTTGGGACTATCGGGTAGTCACCATGATATAATTAAGATTATTCTAAGACATGACAGGTGCTGTCGACGAAATATATTGGATTAGCAGGACTGTGAGACACTTCATTACGGGCGCGCACTAGGCTTAAGGTGCGGCCGTGCAACCTCGCACACGGATTGGTTGCGGAGAAGCACAGCCAATGACTAATAGAAATCCTGCTATAGAACACTACTCAGAGATATTTAGCTATTAATGTTCACTCGAATTATGCTAGATTCACCTGATAACTAATCGTTTTGCCAAAATCCCAATTCGCTATCAACATACGTACTGATTAAACGTATTCCGTGCTACACGCCTGTTTCCTTTATAGCTGGGCTATAGCTTAGCTTGTTCTGGGAGTCTAGCTAGATGTTGGAGAATCTGCCATAGAGATTTCTGAGTCGGTCAGGATTTACTAGCGTAGCAATACGCTACAGGACATACTTATTCCCACACAACTCAGTTTAAATCATCCTTACAGATGGAAAATTTATACCTTTAGGTCGTAAAAATTTGTGGAGATGCTTTTAAAGACTAAAATGTCAGGAATATTAGTTTGTGAAGTATAAATGGAACTTGGAATCTAAAATATTCAATTCGACAGGGGGAAAGGTTGCGTCAGAAAAGTTAAAAAAGAATATTTTTCTGTAATATTACAGTCAGCAGAATAATGAATCACTTTCGATACTCTTTCAGACAATGACCGAAAATAAAGGAACCAAATTATATTAATTCACACATACAAATCTGATAGGGTTGAATAGATTTATACATCCATATCACTTATGGGATTAACAAGTGCTACTCTATTAAGGCAAAGTAAACCGCTAACATGGCCATTAACCAATGTTTTTTTGTAAATTTTTCACTTATTGCAACTTATTTCTCAATTTCTATTCATTCCGGGATTTAAGAGTTTTTGACCTTATGATGCGCATATGGAAATAATTATATTTTTTTCTAAATGAGTTCAATGTTTTGCATTGTGGGGATAACTAGGCTTTTGAAAATGAAATTCTTCTATGAAATTTAAAAACTGCTAAAACACTGACAAATCATGTAAACCCATAATATTCGAAAACAAGGGATCTTACGGTTAATTTTAATCAGACACAATTTTGTAATGCTTGGTCTATGTCGAACAATTTGAATTAGTTTAATCCAAAAACATAGCATTTCAATAATTAATATTAATGAAAATGAAATTTCGATACATCTGATTAATATTATTCTACTGTAGTTTACCAACATCACCATGGACAACAACCTAAATCACAATGTTAGTACATGATACGCGTTTTAGTATTGATAAGTCAACTCGTATTTTGTGCCATTAGCAATGCCTATGAAAGTTCATTTGTTCGACTAAATTGGAGTTAAATAAAGCAGCAATTTGAAGCTGAAAACTGAATAGCGTTACCAACAAGAATCATTTTCGAGGAAAATAGTGCGTTTGTATATGCCAAATATTTATTATGTGAAATCGATAAATCTGTGATAATTTTGCTATATTTTATCAATATCTAGTGAATTTATTTATGCGCATATTTGACAACAGCATGCCGTAGACGTGCGGGTTTCAGATAGAGTTCATTGACTATTAATTATATATATATATATTTTTCCCTCCCCTCTGTGAAGCCTGAAGTCAACTAAAGGGCTAATGATAACCTTCAAAACGCTTGCCATTTGATATCAATAATCATCATCATCATAATATTTTTTTATCCATATAAAGTTTATAAAGGAGAGATTGAGCTCATTGGGATGGACTTGAGTTTGCTGCAATTGGGATTGGAATGAACCCATTGCAAAAATCAAGGAGACAAAGATTGAAAAGTGGTATAGGATGTCGTTTGCCATTTGCATGTAATATGAACGATCAGACATTTTCAGCTTGCTAGCTGGTGACCCTGTGATTGGCTGTTCTGCGGTCACAGGCATTGGCTACATCCGTGTCTAAGCCTACGATTGGAGTATAAAAGGAATAAGATAAGATTGATTGAACCCTTTAAATTTGTGTTTATTGCATTACTCTATACCGTGTATCCTACAATGTGATTATGGGTTTCAAGAAGATTCTTGCTTCTCTTTTTACCTATGAAACACCGAAAATAATAGAAATTTATAATTATAAGATTGGGATTGCACATAGGATTCTTCAGACAATTATCATAATTTATGTAGTTTGGTAAGAAATTGTATATCATAACTTCCAGTTGGGTCGTAATTTATGACAAGGGATACCAAGTAACTGAAAGCCTTATTTCAGTCTGCTTAACCAAAGTCAAAGGTTTCCTCGTGAAAGATTACAAACAGGACAGGAATTACCTCCCTCAAATCTGGGATAACGCAGAAATTGTCTATCCTCCATTAGAGCAAGGCGCGATACTTATTATCACAAACACGATCGAAACCCTTCGGCAAACACCATGCATAGGCAAACCAGTAAGTTGATATTTAAGATTACAACTTTAGGCTGACCGCAATGAATTTATATGCTTGTCAAATAGTGATTGCAGTACGGATCAAATTCCCTTCGGCGGATTCAGTGAGTGCCACCTTAATACTCATTGAACGTTCGACTTTAAAGAATTAAACGTTATTTGTTTTATTAATAGCTGCCTTAACAGGAAGATGCATTGATATAATAAATGGAGAAGGTGTTTGTGAGATTTATTCATGGTGTCCGCTAGAAAATGACACCATTTCTACCGATTTCAACCTGCAAAAAAGATTCGAAATGATCTCAAATTACACTATTTATATTAAGCTTTTCATTGAATATCGGAGATTTGGAATTAAAGGGTAGGCAGTATACCATACGTTCTTTATTTTGTATAAACATTTATACGAGTTTGATTTTTAATGCATTTCATAAATAGTCACTGATAAACCTTTGCAGTACATAAACTTATTATTTGTTTATTTTTATAGAAATAATATATTTGACGACATTGACATCACAACGTGTCAGTTTGATAAAAAAGATCCGATAAATAGACACTGTCCAATATTCAAACTTGGTTACATTTTTGAAGAAATCAATTTGAAGCCACCAGCTTTATACAAAGTAAATCATTATTTTCGCTTGGTTAACAGTAATATCTATTTACAATAAAATTAATTATTTTTAGAATTATTAATATAACGCTGAATTTCATAACATATTTATGATGCTAATTTCAGCCCATATTTACTTAAATTTCTCTTTTTTATTAGTAATAATGCGAATAATATAAACACTAATTTTCAGTTAATTGGAAAACGAAACCCAAATTTCAGTACTATTACGATAACAGACCATAATATAATCTAGACTGTTCAGTGACTCGGACACAGAAACGAGCAGAGTTGTAATTGAGAAAATTATGTCTCTTTCCTTACTTAGAGAGAATAGCTAGTTATATACTTACCGACTACACAAAATGCCTTCATTATTTAGTTATCAAGTAGTGCCTCCAACCAAGGAGTTATTTATACCTCTTGCACAAATCCAGAAACCTTTAAACTTGCCCTCTCTCCCTTACCCCTGTGAACTCGATTGCCCTCTTACATGCTGGCATAATTCTCGCCAAATCTCCCTTAAAACCTCTTTGAAAAAATCGATGAATACACCTGTTAGTGATTAAAATTAGTTAGATATTTATAGTATCGACATGCTTTCATTTGTTTAATTAAATCCCAATGCCATATTGATTTTCTCTCTTATCTAGGGAGGCGTAATTGGCGTTCTCATAAATTGGGACTGCAATCTAGACTTCGGATTTATTGGCTGTAGACCTACTTACAGTTTTACAAATCTACAAGAAGGGACTAATGAAGATGGCTTTAATTACCGGTGAGACGTTAAACAACCTGAATCTCAACTAACAAAATTTGTGTTTTTTTGCATTTAATAGCTTTATAATTAGCAATAGTAGAAAAAGTCAGAATAAAAGAAATCATGTAAAATAGCATTTTGAATTGTACACAGTTATCTAAGAATAGCACTAATGAACAGATGGGTTATGATAGAATTTGAGGCTTACCATAACAAAGACACTCAAAACAATCGATTACCTTCCATAGAAGTTCAAAGGTTATAAAAAGTTAGCACTCTGCCAAATTCAAATACTTTTTACAAAAGCAATGAATATCATGAAGTTGGAGTAGATATTTATGAGCGATTTTCTTGGAACAAAAGTAAGAATGATTATTCAATAGAAATCTGAATAAAAATAACAGTTCTAAGATCAATTTTCAGGCTAATTTAATATCGTGGAGCTTTCAACGCGATGTATAAGAAGTGAAGTAGATGTCAAACTTACAAATTTAATATAAAACCAGAAATTACAAAAATACCAACGAAAATTTCAACAATTTTAACAGATTAGTGTAAATATTACTTAAAAATTTATTGAAAAAATGTTTTACAAAATTAACATCTTCAATTAAATGGATCTACTTAATGAAATTATCAAAGTATTTTGAGAATTCTGAATATTTATTTTTTATTTATTATTATCATTTTTATTTATTTCAGATACGCAATTAAATACCGAGAGAATGGGAAGCAGTATAGAGACTTGATAAAAGCCTTCGGTCTTCGATTCACTTTATTCGTCAGTGGAACAGCCCGTAAATTCAGCTTCATCAAACTCTTCCTTAATATTGGATCTGGTCTTGGCCTCCTCGCTTTTGTAAGTTACCCCAGCTATATTAATGATGCTAACTATACTGTTGATCCGATATACCCATAACAATATATGTCCCGTTGACAAAAATAATCACTTACACGGCTCGGAAGTTTAAGGTACTCAAGAAAACCAGGCTGAGAGGTAATAAGATTTCACTAGATATAGTGGTATTGATTTTATCTCATTAATCATTTGTTTCTTGGCAAATATAAAAATCAAACTAATTAGAAGTTGTTGTCTTTCAAATAAACTAACTTAAATTTCATTCAAGAAATAAGTTCTAATTTGTTTAAAGAACATAGAAATCTGCATTTGAAAATAGGAAAATGGAAAAAAAAATGCAGCAGTGTAGTCGTTGTTCGTTTTCCTAATTATTGTCTAATAATGAAATAAGGAATATTTTTTCCAGAGAATGTTGCATAACGATGCGATTTGAGATCTATTGGTTTATATAGGGTCATTTGGATAAACGATCACCCCCCCCTCTCCCCAGCTAGTTGATGGTACAATGAACGCAAGAGTGCTATAAAATAGAGGTCAAAGCACTTAGGGGTTCACTGGGTCATTTGAGGTAACGAATTGAAGAATACAGTTTGACATAAGAGTGGTTCTAAAATGTATTTCCTTTTCCTTCCTTCGAAAATTCTGAATCTTATTTTTTTGCAATTTCCTTCTTTTATTAAGATTACTAATTAAGCATTTTGCGATGAGGTTCAAAAATTTTGGATATAGGTGAATTAAAAACATATAAATGAATTTGTAGTTCCTGTAAACACTTACTTAATGCATTAATGATATTGAGTCCGTAAAGAACTATTAAGTTAAATTAATTATTTATGACATTCCAGTTCTTGTGGATGGGAGACGCCTAGTTGATGCTCACAGCCTGGCAGCAAAAGGTTAAATCATGAGATGTTGAACTAAGTAAATAATAAATAAATATATATATTAAATAAGGTGGGCAGCTATTGAAGCGTTTACGAGTTGTATGATGTAGGAGAGTTGCGCATGATAGCAAAGTAGTACAAAGATTGTCAATTGTGAGAGTTAGTGGTTAGTTGGTACATTTTTGTCTAATTACACCAGAAGTGATAGGAATCTATGTAAATACAGACTGAACAATCCAATGGCCAAACTGAGGTCTAAGTTGAGCTTACCAATGATCCATTCTGCATTCGGTTGTGTGATTCAGTTCGGTTCAGTGCGGTTATATGCTCATTTCAGCAGGGCTCATGGGAGATGTAGAAAAAATACCGTAGAGAGCTATTGTTCCTAATAAACGCCAAACTGAAGGAGTGGCATATGCTCACGTATTTGTAAAGATAATGGAAAAAATAGAAACCATCAGAGAACTTATTCAAACTAAGACAAACCAACAACTCCCCGACTTGCGCTCTGTTTAACAACTTCGTCTCGATTTTTAGACGATCTGGCAGCAGATCCAATTCTCTGAATCCGATAATTCTACTCCTTAACTCCTATTCACTTTGTAATTTGAAGCTAATTAAAATTTAAAGAATAATAGCAATTGTTTTATTTATTTGACTTTCCCAGACCAAATTCACTTTCCCTCTCCAAGAAACTGCTTACACTAAGCCTATTGATACACTTAGTTGAGCACAACGAATTCTGTAACATTGAAATGCATGAGATACTAATTGGGCTTATTGCTCATATGGGAAAGAATAATTTGAAATTTGTAAATTTGACCAAGTAGATAAAAATTCTTTAAAAACTTTCAGTAACTTACCCCTTTCTAAAATTCAAATGCATTGATGCATTTAAACAGTAGAAGATGAAAACGTGATGTAGTTATAATTTTAATTCCAAATTAAATCCAGTTATCTTACCAATTTCAACACTTTAAACTTGTATCATTCCAATCCAATTCTGAACAAATATTGTTTAATTTTTCCTTGATGGTCTTAGGTCTTAAGCACCCCCCCATTACTTCTGAAAACCTGAAAAATTTTAGCTATTCATTTTCATTTTAAAGAAAGTATTTCAATAACCTCCATCCCAGATACACTTAGATTTTGCTGCCCTCAATGTACACAAGTTCAAAAATTTTTATGGCTCACAAATGTTTCTTTTTGGACATAATTTAGTCAAAATTTATGACTTATTTGTTACAAAACTGATTCCAAGAAGAAGAAGAAGAGAGAATAACAGTTTTTTTCGAGAAATAAAGCATAATGGTGGAACTGAAATGGGTTAGTAAAAACATAACCTAGGCAGTAACTGGTAATGGCAAAGCCTTTTCCTCATGCTAAATGCTATTATGTGACCGTTAAGTACAAAACGCTCACTTAACTAAGTGCTGAGCGTACTACATCAGAGTCAGATCGATACCTTCTTAAATTTCTCAAAAGATGACCAATTTTTACCCATGAATAAGGAAACACATTCCTTCCCAATACATACCGTTAACAAACAGAGAATAAATGATAATTGATTTACTTTAATTAGTTAAGTTTCAATTAGGTGCACTTCCACTAAATAATTTTTTAATAGATCCAATACAAATGCACGCTTACATTGCAGAAAAAATTATCTTACACAGAGAAGGAACTCCCTAAAGCCCCTCTCTATTTTGAGACTCGCATTCTGCTACTTACCATAAAGAGAGTCGCTCGTTATTCTATGCATTGAATGTGCACCTATTGGTATCAAGATTGTAATCATAGCCTATACGCAGGTTAATTCAAGTATTATTACTTTTAATAGAACATGGCAATTCCCAGTTTCGCTATACTGATAGTGTTTTTACCACGTGATCTAATACATTTTGCTTTCATATGAATCCAAGAAAATTAATACTGGTCTCTAAAATAATCGATACGAATTGAAATTCGATTTGAGGAATTCGGAGATGATATTATTGTCATCAAAAATATTTTACTACACTAAACAGCTTTCACAGCAACGTTCTAATCAGCCATAACGGTCACAAATATTTTGAACCAAAGCGATTACGAAGAAGGTGAAATGCAACCCCTTCATTTATCTAATAGTTTTAAAGTTACGAATTTCAAAGCTAATTGATGCATTACTTACAAAAAAATTTGATCGGTCGTCTTAATTAATTCAATTTACATAATGCAGTTTCTAGACCGATATTCTTTTAGGAAGTTATTTGTAAAATAAACTAATTTAATTACATGACTTTCGTAAATTAACTATCTTAACGCATAAATGACCTTTTAGTTTGGAGGGAAAACTGAGAGCAAACGAATACTGGGAGGTAAAATTTAGTTAGAGAGATGAAGGGCGATGATAAATTTATGGAGTATGTCATTTCCAAGTAATAAATTGACATTTTAAAGGTCAAAACGACCTTCCACCATGGGTAAAGCTCTATCCCAAAAATATAAGGATAGCCATGATTATCTATGTTAGCAAATAACTGATTTTTGGAAATTTATTAGAGTTAATGGCGAGGCATAATTGTGAACAAACTTCTAAGG